AATGTGGGGGCGGGTGGGCAGACCTTAGTCAGTGGGACTGGTGGGGCTGTGCGTTCTGTAACAGAGACATTAATAGTTTCTGGGGTCTGAAATGGACTGTAAAAGTGGGAATGTGCCTGGGAAAGACAAAGAGGAATCATTTTCCTTTCTAAATATACCAAAGGTAAAGGATGTGGCTGAGCTGTCAATTGACTTTTAATAGCTGAAAATGCTTAATTTATCAAGCTGTTGGAATGTGGACAGCTTCTCTGGTTTACCTGTGCTGTTAGCCCTTCAGTGCTCGACTTCTCTTCCTTCTCATGTCTCTTATAAATTTTCTTTCACCATCTAATTGCAGCCTCTTTTAGCTCCTACATTGCTCACTCTCTCCCTGCCCTGCACATTCTCTCATGGTTGTCTGTGACTTGGTGCCTGTAGCATGGACCCTGTCAAGCCAGGAGACAAGATATGACTTAGAAAGCTGTTGGGTTTACTGGTTTTTTTTTATAAATTATTTCTTTAATTTGCACACCTCTGCTTCTTTCGCTTGTTCTTTTTTTGCCACAGAAAAAGTCTGCAAGGTCTTAAAAAAAACTCTAGGTTTTTGGTTTATGTCTGTCCAAGAGAAGTGTGGCTCAGGCCGTCAAGTGCTCTCCTAAAGCCAGTGGCAAATAGATATTAAAAAAGCACATGAATTAAAATGAAGGCACTAAAGACAGTGTTGACTGTGGGCTCAAAAGGTTTGTGAAGTTTCTGTAGAATCTTGTAAAATTATGTACTACAAGTAAGGAATAAAATCTAACAATATAGTTAAAAAACCCTGCATCCTAAGCTAAAGTATTTAAATGTGTGAATAGGCAGATGTAGCTGGAAATTCTGTTTATTCTGTGAACATAAATCTGTTGTTTCAGTACTCCACCATCTGTCTTTCACTTTGATGTTCTTATCTGTTTCAGTTAAAATTATCATGGAACAGCAAGAGCTGGCGGGTCCCAAGAGATGGGGAGCCAAGGGTGACCTTCACCCATGGAGCACAGTCCCAAGGGTCCTGACAAAAATAAGCAACCATACCTAGTACTGATGTTTTCTAAAGCTAATTATTGCCAGTGTTTTAGAGAGTTGATTTAAACTGGTGTGATATGGGGGCAGTTCAGAGGGGCAGGCCAATTCCACTGTTTCCTTTTGACAGCTACGTGCAGCCATTTCTCATCAGGATCTGGTCAGCCACTGGCCTCAACAGGCATTTTAAAAAATTGTTTTGCACACTTAAGGTTTCCACATTTTCTCCCATTTGTCATGTTAATTTTCCCCCTCCTGGAATTCCGATTATTTACATGAACAGAAGTGACTTTGGTATTAATGATGCCATTATATACTACACTGAGTCCATTAATAAATTAATAATGCTGTGTCTTGTTTGTTTATAAATGAGGCTCACTGAAGGCTGTTTCAAATGAAAAATACCACTGATTGCTTGTAATTTAATCTAGTGAGTTTTTATGCATGTGAGGCAAAGTCAATTAGTCAACTGAGAAAATTCTAACTCCCAGCTAGATTTCGAGTTTAATGCAAATAATTTAGTTAGAAATAGCAACCTGAAAAAATATGGAAAAAAATATTAGCAAAGTTCTTTTGTTTCCAAAGCCCCTTTTAATAGTTATTTCTGTTTTGGAACATGACCATCTTTATGCCTTCTCCATAGTTTGGTTTTTGTACGTAGTCCGAAATTTGAAGTTTATTTGGATTTTGTTGACCTGTTCTAGCACCAAAATCTAGAATTTTCCTGTAATACAAGATAAAATGCCCTTAGGCAGCACAATTTGTCAACAAAAGCGTGTAAACTGCAAAGTTGTTCAAGCTTTTATTTTCTTCTTTCTTTGTCAGCTTTTTGCATTGTTGATTGATTTGCTGTAGTGCTGCTGTCAGTAGTTTACCAATAGTCTGGTAGAATCTCATGACTGGCATTTTGCCTTTTTAAAAACCATCTCATTGCTGCAGTAAAGAATTTGAACCTCTAAATCAGCTATCATAGCTGTTAGACTTCTTTTTTTATTATTATTAATGTGCTTTTGGGAAAGGAATATTGAACAATAACTAGGAGCAAGTAAAGTACTGGAATAAGCTTGAAAAGGTCAGTCTCTAGGCAAGAGGCTTTTCGTATGTTATCTTTATTTAAGGTCTGTGTTCTAATACAGTAACATGCATGCATTTATATTTTAAATGGAAATTAAAATGCTGCTATAGGTCACACTCTTTAAAAAAAATCAGTAATTATTAGCAAACCACACCTCAGCAGCATGGGTAATATTCAGTTTCATTCTTAACCACTGTCTTTTAATGTTTTTACATGTTTTTTGTTAAAAGTGGTGAAAAATATTGTGAATATTTTTCCACATAATTATAGAAAAATATTGATGATTAAGAAAAATGTGATACTTGTGTTCTATAAATTTGGTTTTAAAAATGTAAATTAAATGCAATTTTATTTTATGCCTAAAGGACTTTAGGTAGAGAAAGTAATGACAAATTTTGGGGAAAACTTTGGAAAAGTTCATGACAAGCAACTGCAATATGCTCAGGAAATACTTCTGGAGGAAAACCCATTTAAGCACTGTGTGATACTGTGGGATATCAAATGTTTTGACAGTAATTTTTAATCTCTTGCAGGTAGGTGTATTGTTATGCTCAAGGACCAGGAAAGCTAATACAAATCTGTAGGTGTATTAAGTGATCATGTAAGATTTCTCTCTTTTTAGTCCTGAGTAGTAATAAAATAATGAACTGGCTTTGATATAAAATAATTTGTTGGTTTATTGCTCTATTTATCTAATGGGAATTCTTTAATATGTTGTTCTACTGCCAAATTGTATGCTAGAAGATCAGACAACATAAGATACTTGGAAGTTTTTCATTACTCAATCTTAAAGGTAGATTTTCCTTTTAGTAGCAATCTGCTATGTGTGCCTGAGATACTAGTGCTAGTATACTTTTAAGATACTTTAGAGGCTGCACGTTCCTCATACATTCAACCTGAAGGTCATTGCTGCTATCTGTATATATGTGAAATAATAAAATATAAAAGATGCATCTGGTTTAAGATTTTAAAGTCTAATTATCCCATAAAGGAATCTGTAGTTAAGTGGATTTTGTGAAATTATGGAAAGGGAAAAAGGTTGCAGACAGGAAGCTCTATGAGCTAAGAAGGTGACAGTGAAAAGTCATTCTTCAACTGAATGTTTTTTGTCAGGATTCTTAGATTTTTGTCAATGTTTAAAAATGAAAGATTATCCCAGAGAGCATATTTAACTATGTGAAGCAGAAGGCAAGGAACATAATAAAGAAATATTTAATAAATAAATATTTTAAAACCCCCAACAATATTAATTATAAAAATATAGACTCCTTTCCTTTTTCTGTCCCTGTGTGTCTAAGTTGCATGCATCTATTTAGATTATACAGGTGACAGCTAGTATCACTTCTTGTCAGAAAATGGCAGCAAATATTGTTTATTAGCAGTGCTTAGAGTTGAATAAATGCTTTCTACTAGATTGTGACAATTGGAAAATATAGATTTACCAAGCTGAAGATAAAGCCAGTCTTCTTTATTAACCATTTAACAATAAATTTAAATACAGGCACATTAACTAATGTTTAGAGGTAGTGCATGTTCTACATCTAATTTATAAATCATACATAGATTCTAATGAGATTTCAGAAGAGCCATTCCTTTTTATGAAACTCTGTACTCTTTAGTATCATTTTGCCAAAAAGTCAGAGAAGTTTTCTCTGCCAAAACTTTTAATTCAGCAGTTTTTCTTTTCCAGCATCTAGCAGCATCACCTTGGGGAATCTGAGATGACTGTGTAAATTGAAACAGTAAGTCTAGAGGAAGTGATTTTTCTTTAGCAGACTAACCAAGGGAGGTGCAGGAAAAAAAAATCTCTTGAACGGGTAACATTTTAGGAAGTCACTTTATTTTAAAAACTAAAGGCCATATTTAGTCTTCATTAATGTCAGTGTGATCAACATAAGTGAATTTCATATAATGTATATTTTATGGAATATGTAAGGTTATCTCTCATTTGAAAATTTTCTACTGTCATGAATTTTGGGGAGTAATATTGCTTAGAGGTGTTGTGTGGGAATGATTCATGTTATTGCAAGTGATGGAATGGGTTTTACTTGCATGTTTGTCAGTAAATTGAAATGGCTGGTAAGGGATGCAATAGTTTGGCCTTTTAAAATTTACCACTATTCTGTCCAGAAACTTTAAAAGTCTTCCAGTCCATTTAACTGGGAAATGGCAATCTTTATTTTTCAGTGATATTAAAGATACCCCTTACAGACACAGATCAGAAGACTTGAGAGCATGTGGCAGCTGGGACATGCATGTTTAGAAAAGCTGAGATTAGCAAATGTTTTGATTTCCACAGTGTAGCACACTGCCACTAGACCTGGTTTTTGTTTTGGTGTTTGTTTTTTGTTTGTTTTGTTTTGTTTTTTTTTTTTTTTTTGGTTTGGTTTTTTTTTTTTAGGGAGGCTCCTTGTCTCTGGGATATTTGTAGTTCAGAATCATCTATGAATTTGGATCCATGAATAGGAAATGCAATGATACCCATTTAATTCCTTAAGAAGATTGAATCAGTTTTGACCAACACATACACTGATGTTTAGTGATAAAAAAACCCCCAAACATCAAAACAACCCCCCCCCCCAAAAAAACCTCAACCAAACAAAAAAGACTCCAAAACTCCACACAAAAAAACCAAAAACTATTCAAGCTGTTTTGACTTCAAAATGGCCATCTACGCATTCCTGTTTGGTCTCTCTCTGGGGTGTTTGCTGTTTCTTTTTCTACAAGGCTGTTTACAAGTGAGGTGAGAGAAACTACATGTGTGACAGGAGTTTCCTTTTCCAGACTTTCTTACTTCTAGCATAAGCCCCACTAGTACTGAGACTGTGAGGTGGATATTAGCTGTCGGCTAATGATGATGTTTATATGTTTGTTTGTTTGTTTTTAGTGTTTTGCTTTATTGAGATACCACTTGAGATGGCCCAAGCACTGGAGCCTCAAGTCTTGTAAGTAGCTTCTTACTTTGTCATCTAAGCAGGTTGTATTTAGCTTCTGAGTGGGACCATATGAAGCTCTGCTTGTGTTGTTTTCCCCAATGCAGTCGTGTTTGAATTGAATTGGAAAGGAGGCTTCCCCACAAAGGGAAGAACTAGTCTGATTATTTAGTAAAAATAAAGGTGTTGAATCTCTTCCATATGCATTGCAGATGTCTACTGCATACAAACTCTAGGACACTTCAGGTTTTCAAAAGTGAATTACAAACATATCTTTGAGGTTGGAAGATATTTATATGTCTTTTTTAAAATGCATCTGTTTTATGTACCTTGGCATCATAATTGTTCCTGCATTCCTCATCATGCATTCGTCCTTCCTTCACCAGTAAAGAATTTCACACTGTGTCTAGTCAAATGTCAGGAGGTGATGCACCACTGAAAATGTGTCACAGAGATCTTTTACTAAAGGTCTGGAACAGCTGCAGGGGAAGAAGTAGTTTTGTTCTCATTCTCACTGTTTTTCTTGACTCAGAAAAATTTGGTTTGGAGTTTAGATGAGTTCAGAGAAATTCTGCCAAAACCCAGAAATGGCATGTAAAGCCACAAAAAACAATGGTTCCCCCTTTACTGAAATACGCTCTTGATATGAGAAGAATTTGAAGACAGCTACTTATGGGCCAGCAGGGGATGGCAGTGGAGTCAGCCCAGAGCCCTAGTCATCAGGCAAATTCATGGTTACAGGCGTGGGCCAAGAAAGAGTCACTTTTCGTGTGTCATCTTCTGGTCAGCTGAAATGTCAGGTCTCCTTCTAAACAGAGCCCTCCCCTTCCCTTTCCAGATTGGCTTTGTATGAGCATTTAAAAGCAGCTCTAAAACTTGCCTATCTTGTTGCTCAGAAGCTCAACCATGTGTTTAAATACCCAATTTTAAACACCTGCCTTTAAAATACAACGTGTAAAATCAAGTTCATGTGAAAGTTGTAAGTAATGTTTGGGACAGGACCAGAATAATCCTTTCCTAGGTGTTGATTCTGGAAGGCATAAAAAGTGCATGCCTACAGGAAGTTATGAGGGCAGAAAACTCACAAACCATGTTATCCCTTAGAAATTTGCCAATGGACAAATTTTCCAGGCTCTTAGAAAATGAAACAAAAGCTATCTCTAATAAAAGTAAGAGCTCACCATTTTTCCTAATTGGCTTTTCAGTTTAATTTACATTGCATTAAAAAAAAAAAAGGCTGGTCTGAAGCTCAATAGTACTATAATTTTCCTCATGGTTGCTTCTTTTGAGCACATCTCAGGACAGTGCAGGTAAAAAGAAACACTTTCTTTTTTAAGCTTGTAGAAATATCTCTTTTTCCTTTTCTGTCTACCAGTTCCATCAGAGTGAACTTGATATGTTTTCCCAAGGAATTAAATTTGCTGAGAACTGGAGTTTACTCTGGAAGAACTTCAGAACAAGTCTTCCCTTTTTTTCTTTCTCTAATGAAAGAAATGCTTGCTTTTTTTTTGTTCAGAGGCACTAAGGATCAAAGGGAGCCTTTTGTTAAAATAGGAGGTTGTCCTGATGTGTTAACTAGATATTTTTTCTACTCCCCTGCTACTTACTATGATGTTGGCTGACTATACCTACCGATATCCCTAGCTAAGAAATGCCACTTTTATACTCTTGCTATAATGTGTTTATAGTCTTTGGAGTATTTTAGACTCCTTCAGACTGCAAATATAGTATTTATTTAAATATAGCATTTGCTATTATCTTGCATTCCTTGTAGTATTACCAGATAAATCTAGTGTTCTTTTATCCTCTGTGTGTTTAGATTGTATTATATTGTAACTTGTATTATGCCTATTACATATTACCATGCACTGGGAATTCCTGCTGTATTTGCAGATATGGTTGTACCTATCTCAGATTGGTTTAGCGTAAAAATAAAAATACCAGCTTGTTTATCCTCTCGATACCTGGACTTTTGACATTTAGTGCCAATATACCACTGAATTTTCTTCATATTTTTTTTAATTGATTGAATGAATTTGTCTTTATGCTGTTGGGGGGCAGAAAGATCTGACTTCACCACCAGCAGGGGTTGGTTGGGAACCCTGCATTGTAACAAGGTGGGTGATCATGCCAACAAGGAGACAGGGTCCTGAGTGGTGAGTCAGGGCTGGGATTAGGTCTGGAGACAGCAGTCAGGGGCAGAGTCTGACTAGTGATTTCCCAGAAAGCCCGCAGTAAATTGGGGCACATTTGAGCCAGCAAATCTGGGCCAGGGTGATGATCAGGCTGGTGGAAGAGCAGACACAGTCATAGCCTACAGTGAAACAGTGAGGGGAGCCAGTGGTACAGCCACAGCCAAAAAGCAGCTCCCAAGGAAAAGGTGGGCTAGAACCTCCCTTCTACTTCACAGTGATGCTTCTCAGCAGCATAGTTGAGTTTGGACTCAGCCACTCAGCTGGACTTCGCTTAAAGCTCGGAAGAAAGGTGTGTTCAGGGCCCTTCTCATTAGTGTGACTTCTTCATCACAGAATCACAGATGGGCTGAGGTTGGAAAGGACCTCTGGAGGTCATGTGGTACAATCCTCCTGCTCAAGCAGGGCTACCTAGAGCAGGCTGCCCAGGAATACATACAGATGGTTTTTGAGTGTCTCCAAGGGTGGAGATACAATGCAATTAAAAGGTGTATTGGATCCCAAATCATTTGCACCCAGGAGCTAATTAGCTCACTTTTAGCTATCAGACTGCTTGTAAGAGCTGCATCTATGTAGTTTTCTGTATTCAGTATGGGGCAATAATCCCCAGCCCCTAACCACAGCTGGAAATGCTCAGCAAGATATGCAGTAGACAACACTGTATTTTCTCTTTCTCAGCCAAATTTTTTTTGTGTTGTTTCTTCTCTCTCTTAGTGTTGGCATTCAAACAGGTAATATCTGAATCTTTTCCATCTCCCATCCTCTGTTAGGGCCCACTAATGTGAGGTTATATGTGCAGTGATGAGTTATCTGTGCATCTCTGTTCTTCTTGGCTGAGCTCAGAAGCTCATGTGTTCAAGAAAAATATCAAATGTCAACTTTATAGTATGACTAATCTTGAGCATTGAATTAACAACTTCTTAATTCTTAGGACACTATGCTACCCCACAGTCAGCTGCATGTTTCTAGTGTTTTCAGTTTTACTCTTTAAAAACTGAAAAGAAATATTTGGTTAATTGTCTGTTAAGACAGATCCTGTTTGATCTATATCATGTTTTTTCTGACCATGTGCAGTCTGTTCTTCATGCTGTTTTATTTCTGCTTACTGCCCCTCTTACATTTGACACATCAGTCTCTTAACCCATATACTTTGAGTGGTTGAAGGCATCTTAGATTTACCTTTTTAACTGAATAGATGGGTCTTTATGTCACTGTCAAACTTGCTTTTTAATTTACTTTCATCATTGAATTATCTTTTTCTTGAAGACTTAACAAAGTGAATACCCAATAAGTGACAAAAATTAAACACTAAAACAAAGCCACTGAGTATGGTTACAGGCACTGACTTGAGTATGTTTCTCTTTCCCTTTCTAGCCTTCATCCAATCTTACATATGGAATTAATTGACTTAAAAATAATAACAGCAGGAATCAGAAGGAGAGAATGAATTTGCATATATTTTTGAGAGGAAGATTTTAAAAATACTTAGTGAGTTTTTTTGTCTTTTTACTTTTAATCAGGAAATCTGTAAGTAAAGGCAATGAGTCACCAAAAAAAGTCCTAAGGGAACAAATAAGAAACAATGTGCAAGCTAAATGCTAGAAAATCATGCTGGTTCAGAATTTTCCACGTAAAAAAGCTGTTTTCTTGAACTTTGTGGAGGACAAACCTCAGTAGTTCTGTACTGTGGGCTTGTAGAGGTTGTGGATTATTGCACTGGGAATTTAGCTGGTGTGGAATTTAAGTGCCATTTATTGTTCTGTACTGTAATATTTTATAGTTGTAATGCTAGGCATACATATATACCAGTTTTACTTAAGAAATGTGCTAGAAAAGTTCAGGTCTTCCACAGCTGTGAAAAGATATTTTAATCTTTATTATTTCAATAGTCTCAGATTTTCATAAAAATAATGATAATATCTCTTATAAGGCTAACCTAGAGTGGGTGAGAATTGGAGGTTTTTTTGTTTGTTTTACAAGCTGTTCATATCTAAAGGAAGCCTGGCATTCTACTAGAATTTAATGGTTGGAAGGATTAAGACACCTTATGCTGCTTTGCTGTTACTAGCATCTATTTAACGCCTATATAAATTTGAAAAGAACTTGTGCTTTGTTAAAAGCTCAAAACCCTCATCTGTACCTTCCAGTAATGTATGACTTGCAGTTTGAAAACCTTCATATTGAGATTTGACCTTGAAATTTCAAATGCTTGAAAAAATAATTTAAAAAAAAGGAATAAGAAAAACTTTAATAGTTTTTCTAAATAAATAAAGAAAGTGCCTTAGGCAAAAGTCCATGTTAAGCAAGCAAGCCAAAAGTCAACAGTTCTCATTTAGGAAATGTTTGCTCGATGAAGAATTGATATTCATTTAGACAAAACCGTGATTTCTTTGGAGACAATCTTGCTTTGGCAAAACATTTTAATGATATGACAGTGAACTTTTTAAAAATGAAATGCTTCTCACATAGCAATACTTACAAATATCTCGCAATGACTTATGCAGCTCTTATGGTGTTGTGAGTTAACCAAAAACTACGACCTGTCTAGCAGTAAAAGAAAGAATTTGCATTGATTGCCATTAATGCTGGTATAACTTTAAAATAGAAGAATGTTTGATGGTATTATTCCACACTGTTAAAGCCAATCCCAATATCTTGATTGTTTGTTTGTTTAATTATACTTAGATTAAATTCAAAACAGCCAGCTGATCTTAGCAGCTGGTAAATATTTACTGCTCATTTGCCAAATTCCTTAGAGCACAAATTTTTGCTTTTTCTGTGTCCTAATACTTAATGGATAAGAACTCATTCCTTAAAAAT